GGTGAGTTTCTGAACTGTATGTATGAAGGAAATTTACTTAAAAGGTCTCCTCCGTGATAAAATCACAAACTCCCTCCTCACCCCCCCAAAAAGAAATCCTTCCAGAGCTCTATTTCAGTCATGAATCCTCTACGCCAAATCTCAGTGATTTCTATGATATCTGAGTTGCCTTTTTGAATATGATCGCAAGTCATTTGGGCATCTATATAGAAATGAACATCTCAGGGGGAAAGACTTTAAAACTTTTTTTTAATCCCCTTTGTCTTCAGATGACCCATTCCTATTTTACATAGGAAGTTGATTACTCAGTGAGGCTAATTTAGTTTTAAGGTTTTCTAATTTAGGAAGAAAACATGAATATAAAAAAGTTACAACAAATGACACTTTAAGTTGATTTTATTTGTAAACTTCTTTCACAGTCCTAAAGAAAATAGGAGATAATAACCCATTTCTTATCTTCTCCTGTTGTCCTTATCCTATTTTGTTAGTCCTCAGCAACTGGTATACAAGTCAGAAAGCATTTATTAAGCACCTGCTGTGTGCCAGCTACTGTGCTAAATGCTGAGGATACAAAGAAAGACAAGAACGGTCCCTGCCTTCAAGGAGCTCAGATTCTAATGGGAGAGACAACATGAAAACACCTGGGAACAGACAAGATCCCAGAGAGAAGACATTGGCATTAACAGGGAATTGGGGAAGGTTTCCTGTAGAACGTAGGATTTTAGCTGAGATTTAAAGAAAGGAAATCCAGGAACTCATGAGGTGGAGAGGAAGAGGGAGAGAATCCCAGTGGGAGGGCCAGTGAAAATAAACTGAGTCCAGAGATGAAAGATTTTGTTGGAGGCCAGTGTCACCGGATCCCAGAGTTCATGGAAGGGAGTAAGGTATAAGAAGCCTGGAATGGAAGGGAGTAGAGGGCTAGGTCATGAAGGGCTTTGAACACCAAACTGAATTTTATATTTGATCCTGGAGGTGATGATAGGGAGCCATTGGAGTTTATTGAGGGATGGGGGTGGGGGGTGGGGGGAATTGACATAGTCTAGACCCATACTTTAGGAAGATCATTTTGACAGCCTAGTGAAGGACTGAAGTGAGGAGAGACTTGTGAGGACCAACCCAGCCAACTGGCTCTTGAAATAGCCCAGGTGTGGGGTGATGAGGGCCTGCCCCAGAGTGTGGCAGTGTCCGAGAGAAGGGGACAGTGTCCGAGAGAAGGAAGGAAGAAACAGCAAGACTTGATAACTGACCAGGGATGAGGGGTGAAAGAGAGGCATTCAGGAAGACAGCTAGATTGGGAGCTTGAGGCAGTGGGAAGATGGTGGCCTACGTGATAGTAATGGGGAAATAAGGAAAAGAGAAGGGTATACGTCATACAATATTATAGAATCTTGATCTGTGCCCATATTAGAAGCTTACTATATGCCCTCTGAGCTCCTCTTATAGGCAGCTTAACTTAAGTGAATGCTTAGAATGCTGTGTTGTGTGGGGAGCAGGAGGAGAGGGACAAAGATCATAAACAAGGCATAGCCCATCTCCCCCCACCCCCAGTCCTGCTCAGCAAAACTAGTTTTCCTGTTTAACATTAGGCAGATCTCTCCTAGGTAATAGCATGAACATATGAGGCATTCGGGCCACGGAATTTGACAGTTGGAAGGAACCTCAGTGACCATAGAATCCAACCCCTCCACAAAAGCAATCCCTACCGTAACATCCCTGCCGTGTAGTCATACAGCTTCTTGAACACAACCAAGGATGGAGGACCATCCGCCTTTTTGGCAATTCATCCCACTTTTGACAGCTAGAAAGCTTTACCTGACGTCAAGTCTTTGCACCGGCACTAGGTAGCACAGTGGACAGAACACAGAGCTTGGAATCAGGAAGACCTAAATTCAAATCCAGCCTCAGACACCTTCCAGCTGTGTGACCCTGGGTAAGTGTGCCTCAGCTGCCTCAGCTGAGGCTTGGAGGATAGTAGCACCTATCTCATAAGGTTGTTTTAAGGCTCAAATGAAGTAATATTTGTAAAGTGCTTAACAGTGCCTGACACGTAGTAGGCACTTAATAAATGTTTATTTTTCCCCATTCGTTGCTCGTAATTGTACACTTTGGGGCCCAGTGGAACAACTCTATTGCCTCTTCCATATGACAGCCCTTCAAATACTCAAAGACACCTACCCTGTCTCTTCTGCTTCTTCTCCATGCTAAATATGCCCTATTCCTTTGGCCAGTCTTCATGTAGCATGACTGGCCCTCTTTTCTGTGACTAGAATTGCTTTTTCCTTTTCCAAGAGATCAGTGAGTTACAGGTGGAAGGGACCTCAGAGGCCATTTATGTCATTGCACTCATTTTACATATGGGAAGATTGGAACTCCGAGCTGTCACATGATGTGCCTAAGGTCATACTGGTACTAAGCAGCAGGAGCAGGATTTGATGAATTCAGGTCCTGTGACTTTAAATACAGCACACTTTCTACTGTACTGTGTTGAAAGCCCTACAGATCAACTTACTCAGTTGGCAACCGTTTGCTAAGTGCCTACTGTGCCTAGGAGAGACTGTTAAGTAACATGAGGTCCCTGTTGTCCTAGAGATTGAAGTCTAGTAAAGGGAGTTCCATGCAGAAAAAACTGTTGATAACACACAGGGTCCTCCAGCATGGCAGTTTCTCTTATTGTGTATTTATCTGCTCCTTTACTAGATTATAAAATTCCTTGAGGATGGAAACCATCAACTACCATTTATTAAGCACTTACTGTGTGCAAAGCACTGTAATAGACATTGGGGGAGGAAAAAAAAGGTAAGGTGTGATCCTTGTCCTTGGAATTTATAATCTGACAGGGGAATGTGCCATATACCCAGATGACTATGTAATACGTGAGGTCTTGGGAGTAGAGGGAAGAGCTTTACTGATTGGGGGCATCAGGCTCTCTTAAGGTTGTAGTGACAGAAAGATGGGGATGGATGCTAGAGATGTTGCTGAGGAATCCCTCAGTTCCTCATTCTCCTCAACTCCCATTGCCTTCATTCCACTTGAGTATCACTCTGGGGTGGTTACAACCTCCATAGCACCATCACTCACAAGTATTTCCTTGGTCAGAAATTCGACAATTCTCCTTTCTTATCCCTTATTCCTCGTATATTTTCGTCTCTCTCTGTGCCTTCCTTGCCTCTCCTCGACTTATTTTTCCTCCTCAATGGACATCCAGTCCCTAAATTCTTCAGTACTTTATCTCCTTTACTCTTTTCTCTTAAAGGTAGCTCTTCTCACCAAGACCAACCCCTCTGTATGTACCCTCATTCATCATCTGCAGCAGACTGTCTCTATTATCCTCCTTCTGTCTCTGTCTCTCTCTTTCTCTCTGTGTGTCTCTCTCTCCTCTTTTTCCTCTCTCTCATTCACACACACACATACACACACACACACACACACACACCCCTTGACTGTCTCCCTTTCTTGATTCTACAAACTTGCCCATGACTCCAGCCTTAAAAAAAAAAAAACCCTCCGTAAACCTTTCTCCCTTTTACAAAATTCTAAAAAAAGCTATCTGCTCTTAATTCCTTCGTTTGAATTTCTCTCCTTTCCTCTCCTTTCCCCCTCTACCTCCCTCTCTTGCATTGTGGCTTCCATTCTCATCACTCACCTGAAACTGCACTCTCCACAATTACCAGTGATCTATTCATTGCCGCTGTGGATGGCCTTTTCTCCATCCTCACCATTTTTGCCTATCTCTGAAGTATTTAGTGTGAACCATCCTCTCCTCCTGGGATACTCTGTCTTAAAGCACAGGTCTGACCATATCATTAAACTCTCACCCGCTCCCTCTTACCCTCTAGGATAAAATGTGAATTCCTGTGTTTAGCATTTGAAGTGCTAGCCTCAACCTACCTTTCCGACCTGATGAAGTATCATCTTTATACACTCTACAGTAATTGAGGTGGCACCTCTGAGGATCTCCTCAGAGATAATACTTTGTTTCCCATCTGTCCCTGCCTCTGCATTGGCTCTCTCCCTTGCCTGGAATTCTCTCTTTTCTCACCTCAGCCTTTTAGAATCCCTCTCTTTCTTCAAGACCCAGCTTCAGCAGCCCTTTCTACATGAAGCCTTTCCTGATTGCCCCAGAGCCTAACACCCTTCCCCACAAAATTCCCTTGTATTTTGTGTATTTTCTGCATGCACTTATTTCCCTACCTGCCTCTCCTAATAGGAGGTAAGACTTTTGAAAGGAAGATCTGGTTGATTTTTGGTTTTATATACTTAGGCTTACCACAGTGCTTGACGAAGTAGTAGGTACTTAGTAAGTCCTTATTGATGGAGTTAAAATCAGTAGGTCTTGGGAAGAATGTACACGCACACACATACACACTCTAAAGTGTTGAGCCTACAGTAGAAAGAAGAGTGGCTAGTGAAGTCAGGGGAGGGGAATGTATCAGAAATGAAGGGTCAATAAAGACATTTCATCAAATATCTGTTAAACACAATTGATAATAATTTTCTTTATTTAAATAGATGACATCATCTGACTTATTCAGATGGCTAGGTGGCTCAGTGGATAGAGTGCTAGGCCTAGACAAGGAAAATCTGAGTTCAAATAAGGCCTCAGACACTAGCTGTGTGACCCTGGGACAAGTCACTGAGGCAAGTCTGCCTCAGTTTGCTTAACTGTAAAATGGGGATAATGATAGCACCTACCTCCCAAGGTTGTTGTGAGGATCAAATGAGATGATATTCGGAAAGCACTTAGCACAGTGCCTAGTATATAGTAGGCACTTAATTGCTTGTTCTCTTTCCTCCTCCTCCTCCCACCTCGCTAAACCTACATTAGATTTGGTGATTAGGAGTTTATTGTTGCATTGAGAGAGCAAGTTCAATAGAATGGTGTGGTTGGTGATGAAATATAGTCATGGGTTGTAGAATGAAGTAAAGGGAAGAAAGAGGGGTTGGTGGTAATTGTATTTGGTATAAGAGTCAAGAGAAGGCTTTTTTTTTATTGGTATTAGGCAGACCTGAACGTGTTTGGCAAGTATAAAGAAAGCAGTGAAGAGGAAGAGATTGAGGTTGTATGAGAGAAAGAAGGACTGTTGGAACAAAATCCTGAAGGAGGCAGGAAGAAGCAGTGGCCAAGGGCTCGGGTAAGAGAGCAGTTGCCTTAACACTCTTCCTCTGAGGTGGGTGGGTCATGCCAAGAAGTTTCCAGAAGGGGAGCAGGCAGAGCTCCCACCAGATGGCCTCAGTCTTTTGAGTTCGATTGGGAGTTATTTCTTTTAAGTGTAAGGATTGAGGATGAGCTCGGGAGCTTGAGGAGACTCAGCTTTGGAACCATTACTGTGGCGAATGAAAGCCTGGATCCATTCAAAACTGATGGTTTTTGAGCAGCAGCAGTGATGGCCGGGCTGAGGCTGTGTGCCATGGATTTGTGGTGGAGGAATCAGCTTGATTGGGTGACTGTCAGTATGCTCACCCCCCATGGAAAAGAATCCGAGAATTGGAGAGAAGGGATGTCAGAGGCTTCTTAAACTTTTTCCACTCTCGATCGCTTCAGCACTTCTTAAACTGTGGATCTTGCTTGCAGTTTAAGAACACTGAAAGAGTCACAGGTAGAAAAACTTTTAGAAGCCCTGAATTATTCTAGTCCAACTGGTAGTTGAGAAGATTCCTTCTACAGCAGTGTCAGCCTCAAATAGAAACCAGGCCACCCAAATACATAGAAGGCTCCCTGTGGCAACATTTTGACTTAGAAAACCATATATTGAGATTATCTGTGTTTTATTGTTTTTTTTTTATTTTGTTCAATATTTCAATATTTTAATCTGACTTGAACAGTGCTTGGTTGCCAAATGGTCATACAACATTCAAGACCTTAAGTGAGCACAACTGACTGTCTTTCAAGGCAAGCCATTTTACTTTTGGAGATTCTTGGGTCACTTATATTTCTATCAAACCTAAGTTTGCCTATCTGAAACTGCCATTTATTGCTTCTAGTTCTGAGAACAAATCCAGTCTTTTGTCTGCATGACAATATTTCAAATATTTGAATATAGCTATGAGTGTCTTAGTATTCTGTATAGCCCCTAGCATAGTGCCTTGCATGTAATAGGTGCATAATACATGTTTTTAATTGAATGAATGTGTTTCATACTAAAGGGCAGCTAGGTGACACAGTGGATGGAGCACTGGGCTTGGAATGGAGAAGACTCATCTTCCTGTGTTCAAATCTGACTTCAGACACTTAACTAGCTGTGTGACCCCAGTCAAGTCACATCACCCTGTTTGTCTCAGTTTCCTCATCTGTAAAATGAGCTGGAGAAGGACATGGCAAACCACTCCAGTATCTCTGCCAAGAAAACCTTAAATGGGGTCACCAAAAGTCAGACACAACTGAAAAATGACTGAAAAATAAATTTCATACCGCTCATTCTTTGTTCCCCAAATGATTCCTTTCAGATATCTCTTGAGAAGAATCAGACCTTGAAGGGACCTCAGAGATCATCTCCAGATAGTTCAAGCCACTTATGCTTATACTAATTCCCTTTCCCCTCAGAACAACTGTTCTGAACTATTTCAGTACCCTCCAATGCCACAGTTACTGTGTCTTACAGGCAGTAATGTGTATGTATTGTCTCCTCCATTAGAATATAAGCTCCTTGAGTCAGGCAGGGACTGTTTTTGCTCTGTAATCTGGAAGAAAGAGTGAGGCTAATGACTTTGTGCAGCTCTGCCTCACTGAAATCCAATTCACACACAAGTCAAGACCTCACCCCATCGTGCTGTTGGGCCTGTTCCAAAAGGACAGCCAACGACAGCAATCCCCAGTACTTAGAATGGTGTCAGCTTAATAAATGTTGGTTGGTTGGTTAGTTGATTGATTGATGGTGTTTAAAAGGCTTAGAGGTAATTCACTGCAATTGTGGAAAAAACACTGGGGAGGCTATAGGACCATTGCATTCAGTTTTGTTTAGACCTTGTGTTTGATTTAGAAAGAAGGATGGGGGTAAGGGAAGGGAACAAGCATTTATTAATCTGTCCAGCATAATTAAGCTATTTGCCAAGCACTTTGCTAAGCACTTTTCAAGTATCATCTCGCTTGATCCTCACAGCCTCCCTGGGAGGTAGGTGCTATTGTGATCTTCATTTTATAGGTGAGGAAACTGAGGCAGACAGAGGTTAAGTGATTTGCCCAAGGTCACATGGCTAGTAAGTGTCTGAGTTCAGATTTGAACTCAAGTCTTCCTTGACTCCAAGCTCAGTGTCCTATCCACCTCAACACCTAGCTGCCTCATTGATAAGTGTCTGGAGGAGGGCAACTGGAAGATGTAAGCCAGGGGTGGGGAACCTGCGGTACTGAGGCCACATGTGGCTCTCTAGGTCCTCAAGTGGGGCCCTTTGACAGAATCCAAACTTCACAGAACACATCCCCTTAACAAAATAATAAAATAAGCCTTTGACATCATGCCATATGAGGACTGGTTCAAGGAATTGGGGCTGTCTGCCTTGAAGAAAAGACTTAGGGAGACATGATCAATGTCCAGATATTTGATTGGCCATCACATGGAAGAGAGATTAGTCTTGTGCTTGGCCTAAGATAGCGGAACACGAGGTGAAGGGGAGAAGTCTCAGAGAAGCAGTAACATCTGAGGGAGCAGTCCAGAAGGAAGGGCTGAGCTCCATCAGGAGGTAATGGATTCCTCTTGAGGTCTTTAAGCAAATGCTAGGTGACTCTTGATTTGGAGAGAGTGTAGAACAGATGTGTGTGTGTTTAAGTGCAGATTGAACCATCCGGGGTGAGGAACCTGCAGCCTCAAGGCCACTTTGGCCCTCTAGGTCCTCGGGTGCGGCCTTTTGACTGAGTCCAAGTTTTAGAGAACAAATCCTTTTATGAAGGGGATTTGTTCTGGGAAGTTTGGATTCGGTCAAAGGGCCCCAGTTGAGGACCTAGAGGGCCACATGTGGCTTCAAGGCCGCTGGTTCCCCACTCCTGGCAGGTGATTGTCTTCTAACTTTAAATTCATCTTCTTGATTTTTCCATCCCACTAAAGAAAATTGGTATTGATAATAGGGAATTGTGAAAAGTCTGGTTTTCATTAATAATCTACTTAAATTTAGCTATGGTTCTATCCCCGGTGCATGGAGAGCTATCTAAGCAGCTTGGTAGTAGGAAATCTTGCTGCACTGAGCCAAAGTCCTAAGAATAGGCTGTAGCCCATGTCCCAGCATTTAGAAGTAACTAGGTGACAATGTAGGTGGCTTACTCTATGGAGAGATCAGGAGTGCAATGTATAATACATATGTTGTGTGTGTGTGTGTGTGTGTATATGTATATATATGCTTATATATACCTCTATACACATGTATATGTATATACGCATACATAAATGCATTAAGGCATTGGGGTCATTTTCAGACTTTTTCAGATTGTGGACTCTTTCATACTTTTGGACCCCAGTCTGACTCAGTCCTTGGGGAGACCTGGAGTTGATAAACTAGATATATATTCAGCATGCTCCATGAAAACTTTCTTTCAAGGAATCTCTAGAGAAGACATTCAGAATTTAGGGTTTTTTAGAAACTTTTGTGAGAAAACCTAATCGAACTGAGTTTTAATTTGAATTTAACTTGTTTTGAATTTACTGTATTTACTTGCTTAATGGTCAACCTTGAGTTAATGTTTGTGCCTTAATTTCGGAGTAGGAAAATAGAGGAAAAACGTGTTTACCTTCAAATTTCCTAAGATCTCTTAGTTCTTATTCTTTTTTTTTTAATTTCCCATCACTTTGATCCCTTATACATTTGGAATCACTATGAATTGATGCCTCTTGACCCATGGCTGTCTTCTTCACCATAAAGGCCTTGTGGTTTGTTAACAACTGCACTTGGCTCAGAGGAGGGAAGATGAGGAGCTCCCTATACTTCTTCCTGTTAATTCTGCCATCTTGGCACTGATTGGTTTCCTTTTTAATCCTCTATATTTTATTTTATGCATTCAAGAACCTCTAGGTTCTTAAAATTCTTTGTGTCATTGACCCCTTTGGAAATCTGGTGGTCTTTGCACCCCTTCTCAGAATAGTGTTTTTAAGTAATTGAAAGACAGGCTAAATTTCAGTTAGAGGTTAGTGAAAATAAAGATGTGGTTTTTTTTCCCATTCAAGTTCAGAGACCCTTTGAAATCTATCATAACTCCTGGTCTAGTGGTAGAATGAAAATCAGATTATAGCATCACCAAAAAAAAAAAAAAAAAAATGAAACTGACTATACCTTAACAGACATGAGACATCTGGTGGGAGTCTTATCCAAATCATTTGTTGGGGGCAGCTAGGTGGCGCAGTGGATAGAGCACTGGCCCTGAAGTCAGGAAGACCTGAGTTCAAATTCGACCTCAGACCAAACACTTCATACTTACTAGCTGTGTGACCCTGGGCAAGTCACTTAACCCCAATTGTCCCCCCCCTCAAAAAAAACAAAAACAAATCATTTGTCTGTGTATAGACAGACTATTGACTTGTTAAAGCAAAGATCAAAATCAATATGAAATTAAAAGAAATAATAAAGATGAGAAGATATCACTTGCCATTGAAACAGCCCTAATTTGACCTATTTTAAGTAAGTTATCTCTACCCAAGGCATCAGCATAGGCTGTCACCATTTCCTGTAGAACTCCAATGAATGTAAAATAAATCCTACAACAAGAAAGCCAAAATATCCTATAAACAACTTCAGCTAGGAAGCACTTTATCTTTTTTGTCATGCAAAAAAAAAGGGGGTCAACTAAGATCAATAGTGGTACAGAGGTGTCATACTCACTTTGCTGAAGGAGGGGGGATGCAGCCTGCAAAACTCCTGAGTGCTGCTGGGACCAGATTAAAATATAATTGGGAAATGTTGGACAAAACAAATAAAAACACATTACAACATTTTGTTTTTATTGTTCAGTCGTGTCCCACTCTTCGTGACCCCTTTTGGGGGTTTTCTTGGCAGAGATACTGGAGTGGTTTGCCATTTCCTTCTCCAGCTCATTGTACAGATGAGGAAACTGAGGCAAACAGGGTTAAGTGACTTGCCTAGGGTCACACAACTATGGTCTGTGGCCAGATTTGAACTCTGAAAGATGAGTCTTCCTGATTCCAGGCCCAGCACT